TGACCTGCAGTCACTCAGCCACTCCCCAGCCCCGGCCCGGGCCCCAGGCTCTCAGCTCCTCAGATCTAAGGTTCCCCAGGCCCCCAGAAATCTCCCTGCCTTAACCTGACCCTGAGCTTCCTGCATCAGCCCCCCACAGCCCTGGGTCCTCCTGGACCACCTGCCCAGTGGCCCCCTTGCCCTGGGGCTGACCACATAGGTCACTCCATTAGCGTAGGGCAAAACCTCTTGGGAAGAATACCCTCAGACTGTTCTCCCTGCATGTGGGAGTCATCCTCCATGTGATCATAGGTTGTGAACTGCTGGGGGTCTTATGTGGACAGCCTGGGGACAGGAGGAGGTCACTGAGGGGCTGTCTCTGTCTACCCCCACTCTTACCATGGTGTGGCAGGGGCACCTCTTCTTCTAGGGAAGTCTGATTTCCAGGCTGAATGCAATTAAGGTCTCCCAGCTCCCTAAAAATCCTGCTGCTTCCCTTGGGCAGATGGTGGTACCGAGCAGGCCCCTAGGGTGTTGAGTTCTTCAGCCACCTCACTTATTTGGCAGCCAGCTGGGGTGGGCGTCCGCTTTCTCATCTCTTATGTTCTGATTATAGCAGGAGAGCAGCCCGATGGCTGGGAGCCACTGCAACCTGAGATGCATTCCTTCCAGTCTTTTTTCTGTGCTCGTGTGCACACACAATTGTTTCCACGCTCATTGCTTTGCATCTTGTCTCTCTGGCCACATCCCTCATTCATGACCTTTACCCACTTTGAGTTGGGGTTTTGGTTTTTCCTATTGATTTATAAGAGCACTTTATTAGATGAAGGATATCACTTTACTGTTAGATGCTGCGAAGACTTGATCCAATGTGTCGATTGACTATTGGTTGTATTTATGTCTTTTTCTCCTACTTTCTATTATGGAAAATTACAAACGCACAGAAGTAGAGATACTGGTATGGCACAGTCCCATGTGCCCCTCACCAGCTTCTGCCATGATGAAGTCACAGTCTAGAAATAAAATCATTGCCCATCTTTTGTATGAAATGCTCGCATGTACTGCTGTAAATGGTGTTGCTTAAAAACAAACAAACAAAAAAACTATAACCACAATACATGGCACTTTTTTGAATGTACAAAAATGTTTCATTCTTACAAAGTTGAGCCCGTCTATCTTTCCTTGGCAGTGCTTTAAGGTTGGGACCAGCCCCCTTCTGCCTATGCACTCCAGGCCCAGCACTGACTGCGAGGGACGCCGTGGTCCTGTCTGGCATAGACAGATGGACAAGGACTCTTCACTGTGTGAATCCCATACCTTAGGCCTCCTGCTCTGTCCCTGTCCCCAGCCTTAGCACAGTGCGAGTCCTTGTGGGTTGGCCAGAAGCTGCCCCCACGGCTGCGGGCAACATCTGACCACAGTAGGGGTGACAGGGTAAAGATGGGCCCCCACAAGGCCTGGCCAGAGGTGCAGGGAGCAAATCTCCATGCCGGCAGTGCCAAGGCGGGGACACAATGCCCTCCTAAGCAAAGTGGGCTTTGGCACCACTGGACCTGGGTTCTGCTCTTCTGCTCCTGCTGGAACTAACTTCCTCCCCATCTAGGTGGGTGGGAGTTCAGGGTTTTGGAAGGAGGTTCGACCAGTGACCAGTCCCCTCCCCGCTCATCAGGGACAGGGGCAGTGTGCCGACAGATGGCCGATGAGGGATCAGGACTAGAGTCCAGACCTTTTGCCGGCCTCCCACTGCTGGCCTGACCCTTAGGAAATTCCACTAATTCCTGAACCCAGATTGGACTCAGGCCCCATAATTTGGTTTTCTGGAGCAGGGTTTGGCCGGACTCCCTGTAAGAAGGAATGTCTGGGTCAGCAGGAAGACATCAAACATGGGCTTAGGTTTCGGGGGAAGGATCACTGTCTTCCCCCTAGTTCCTCTGATGGTGTCTTCACTTTCCTGATGAGGCATGTTGACCACAGTTGTGCCTCAGAGGGTTGGGGGCAGGGCTCCCTCCTCCCAGCAGTGTTTTGCAGCCTCATTCTTACCCACCTGCCCACCCATTCATCTGCTCAACTGTCCGTTCTCTCATTCCTCCACTCAGCCTCCCATTCGTCCACCAGTCCTTTTATCCACTCCTGTACTGCCTACATATCCAACTATCCACCCACCCACTCATCTACCAGCATCCTGTCACACAACCAACTACTCATCTAGCAATCCGCACATCTGTTCACTTCTTCATGTGCCCTTCCATCCAGCCTTCTGTCCTTCCATCTCTCCATCCACTCACCTATCCATCTACCTGGGGTCACTCCTGGGTCGCCCATGCCTGGACAGGCTTTTCCCAGGTTGACCACCTCCACAGGTAGGTGGCAAGACTATCTCTGGACAGCATGTTTGTTCCTGTCTTTTTGCAAAATCACCTCCATGGGCAGGCGGGCATGTGTGGTAAGAAGCTGCCTCTGCCAAGGACTCGTGAAGCAGTGGCTAGGGTCTGGGGGGGCGGGGTCTGCCTTGTAGGCAGCACAAGACCCTTCCCAGGTGAATGGAGGTTGTGATGGCATCAGCCAGGGAGGAGAGTGAAGGTTAGACAGTGTCCTTCTCTGCCTGCCCCCAGACCCTCCCAGGTTGCAAGAGAAGTGAGTCTGGTGCCCCCCTCTACCCAGGATCGGGGTCCCTACCCAGGTCCCAGATGGGGAAAATGTCTTTGAAGTCTCATGGTCGATCTTAAAAGTTCATGCACATTTTGCCTTCCATGTCATCGCATGTTTATTGTTTTGATATAAATTCAGCATCCTGAGTTACCATCAGAAAAGCTGCCATGTGGGGTGCCTGGGTCACCTGAGCCCACACGTGCTCCTGTGCACCTGGGACCTGAGGAAGCTGCCATGTCGGAAGAGTGGGCCTGAGTCTTCCCTGCTTGCTAGATGCCCTCAGTCAGCAGCCTGACTCCCCAGGGCTGCTCTTGAGGCCACCAGGGTGACAAGGCTACAGCCTGCAAGGTTCAGTGCCCCCACCCAGACGGGGGTGCACCCTCCAGCTGGAGTAAAGGGCATGGGCTCAGCACCCGGGGCAGCTGTGGGGCACTCTGCCCCCAGGCTGGCTGGTATTCCGGGGTGTCGCCTGGGAGACACGCAGTCATTTAGCTCCAGCTGAGAGAACTGGGCAATGAAAAGGTCAGTGTGGGGTTTGGCTATCTTCTCACTATAGCCTCAGAATTCTGGGCCCCTGGCCAGCTCTCAGCCAGAGTGAGTGAGACCCCTTCGGGGGGCTCCTTGGACCCCAGAGCTGGAGCATGCTGGAGGGCCCAGGGCAGGAAAGCTGGAGGCTAAGGCTGCCCCCTCACCTGTTCCAAGGGTCTGCAGTACAGGCCTTGTCCTGCTGGTAGGGGGCCAGGGAAGCCTGAGATCAGTCAGGAACCCATGTCTCTGCACAAGGGGGAAGAAAAACCATCTCCTGGCCGTGAGAGCAACAGCTGCCCTCGGTCCTGATTGCCACCTCCCCTCACATGTATGACCCTGGTCTCAGCTGTGCCACCCAGGGCCATGAGGCCAGTTGAGACTACCCTGCTACAACCAAGGCTCACTGAGGGCTGACCTGCTCCCTCCCCACACCCACCATGTGCCGCCTTCCAGCGAAGAAGGCCCCACCACGCCCACCTGGGGCAACCAGGTTTAATCCATCTGTGCACAAGGCCTGGTAGCCACCACATGCAGGTATGTTTGGGACCCATGCACAGGAAGAGGTGGGTGTGCACAGGGGCTGTGTGCCTATGGCTGTGTATGTGCTGCGCTGTGTGTCCCTTATTCCCTGCTGACCAGAGGACCTGGTCTGCGTCTCACCCACTGAACACTCCCCACCGCCAGTGGCGACCACAACCTCTCCCAGCAGGAGTTCAGTTTGTTCTTCTGGCTGTGCTGACATCACTGCCCCTCCTCTAGGTCACGGTCACAATTTTATTTTGTGACAGGTGCTAGGGAAATGAAGAGCAGCTTTTGGGACCTCCGCTGACCTCTTGTGCTCTTTGAGCCTCAGTTTCCCCAGTTGTCATAGTGGACTGGACTCTGCAGTGTCCTTTCACTTCGAAGTGCACCCATGCCCCTTGACAGAGTCCCTTGCCCAGTTGGTACTGATGTGGCCAAGCCCAGCACTGACCCTTTCTCCCTGGGCTCTGTCCTTGCTGCTGTCTCCACCCTGCAGAGCTGACCCTTCAAGGGTGCTGCCCATTGTGCTGTCGCTAAGCTCAGGCCCTAAATTGGTGTAGGGGTGAGGGGGCCAGCAGAGGCAGCCTCAACAGGCTGGCGTGGGTTGGGCCGGAAGGAGGCCCCAAGCCACACTAGGCACCATGCTGTACACCCAGTGCCCTACAGTGTGGCCACATGGCCTGCACCCCACCTGCTGCCTTGTAGCTGGGTCTGAGCTCTGCATAGTCCCCCTGCTTCTTTTGCCCATGAAAAACAAACACACTGGGCAGCCAGGGAACAAGCAGTGAGGAAAAGCGCTGGCTTGTCATTACAACTGCCAAGCCCCCACCACCCCCACCCGCTACCCTGGGGCCTCCAGGGGCAGCGCTGGACTGGGGCCCAGGCAGGCCTAACCCTCTCGGCACACTGGGCCTAGGAAGCCTGGGCCCCTGCCCTCTGGATCTGGTGTCAGGCACATGGGCCACTTCCAGGCACAGAACTGCGACTAGGCTGTACTCAGTTTTCACTCTGCCATTATAGGTAGACACCACCCTTGTTCCAGCCAGTATGGCTGTGAGTGGAGGCCAGACCACGGATCTGTAGGCCTGTGTCACCCCTGTGCCTGCCTGTGTGTCCCGGGCACCCAGTTGCTCTGGAGCAACACCTTATTCCCTGACCGCTGGGCACATTGTCTCTGCCACATCAGCTGTGTAGCTATAGATGGGTCTCCCACCTCTCTGGGCCCCAGCATCCTTTTCAGTGAGATGGACCTGGGCTGGCCCCATGAGATTGGGGTGAGCTGGTATGTGCTGTGGGCAGCAGAGGGTCTGGGAGATCTGAGTACTAATTTTACCAGCTCTTCTGGCCCTTCTCTTCCCAGTGGACTCTGGGAAGCCCACAGTCCATGGTTCTATTGGGCCTGCCATGAAGCAGGGGAAGAGGGTCAGAGCCCCACACCCCATAGGGAGGGAGCCAGCTGCTTCTGGCCAGCCTCAGATTAATGGCTTTTAATTTAGAATTTAATCAATGCAGCTTCTCTCTGGAGAGCTGAATGCTCTAGTCTGGGAGTGAGTTGTATAATTTGTGAGTGGGGCAGGCAGGGGGCCCATGATGGCCTCTACCAGGCCTCCTCCCTGGCCCCACCCTGACCTTGCTCTGCTTTGCCTGCAGCCAGCAGGCATCCTGGTCATGGAGGACTGCAACGTGCACTCGGCTGCCAGCATCTTGGCCTCGGTGAAGGAGCAGGAGGCCCGCTTCCAGCGGCTGACACGGGCACTGGAGCAGGAGCGGCGCCATGTTGCCCTGCAGCTGGAGCGTGCCCAGCAGCCTGGCATGGGCAGTGGTGGTGTGGGCAGTGGGCAGCCCCTGCCAATGGCCTGGCAACAGCTGGTCTTGCAGGTAACAGCTCAGTGACTCAGGAAGGATAAAACAGCCAAGTGGGAAAACAATCAAGGGGCCCTAGTGGGCCATAAGCTAGCATGCATTGGCTTATTGCAAGACCTCCTGAGGCCTCTGGGAATGGAAGGAAAGCGGGATCCCTAAGGGGCTAGAAGTCCCATTTGAGTGTGCTGGGCACCACACAATGAATGGTCAGGACACAGCCTGACTCTCAAAACAGCACCCTCCACTTGAGTGGGCACCCAGGGTCCAGGCAGCTAGGCAGGGTCTGTTCTGGGCAGCTAAGTGGTCAGCATGATGACACTGAGGGTTTTGCCAGCCCTGGAGTCTCCCTGCTGTGGTATTCTTCATAGTATGCATCAGTGGGTCAGCCCCAGGGGATCTGCCTGCAGCTCAGAGGGAGACCTAAGAGCTCAGTTTCCCCACTGGCTATTGCCCTCAGACTGGTCTCAGATCCCTGCTAAACCCCAGGAGGTATGGAGCCCTGTCTGTTCTGTGGCCAGGCCCTGAGAATTCTAAAGTTGGGGTGCATGCTCAGGAGTCAGACTGTCTGGACTCCTTCCAGCACCCACTGTGCCCCCAGTGCCTAACTTGCAGAGGAGCGACAAAAGCACCAGACTCAAGGGGTGGTAAGAACAGGACCAGAAAATGCTGGAAGCCTGGAGTTTGGCATGATTATTTGGAAAGTTACTGTTATTGACTGAGGCATGGGGTGGGGGACAGGCAGGGTGGAGCTGTCCCAAGAGCTGGGGGGTGGGGCAGGGAGGAGGGCTTCTGGGTAGGGGTCCACCCCGCAGGCCTCCCACTATGGCCCCTCCTCACCACCAGGCTCAGAGGTTTGGGGGAGGAAGCCTGCTCAGTCCCCTAGACTCCTCACAGTGACCCTGGAGGGCCCTCTTGGCGGGTTCCTCAGTTCCCTGGCTCCACTCCCTGGGCGAGCAGCAGTGTTACTCTCCTAAATAGCGCAGCCACAGCTCTTCCTGGTGTGCCCCCAGCACATGCACGCCCTCCTTTCTCTGGTCCTGCTGAGCCCTCCAAAGGTGAGGCCTGTACCCCCAAACTTGAGGGGGGACAAAGCAGCCAGGCTGGGCCACATGGGGACAACAGCACCCAGTGACCCGAGGTCACCTCTCAGGCGCCAGACACTCTTATCCAGCCCTCCCAGGCCGGAAAGGGCTCGGGCCTCTAGCCCAGAGGGCACTGCTAAGGGTCGATGCCCCCGAGGGAAGATGTTCCCATGGCCTGGAGCTGCCCAGGCCTCCTGAGGGCTGTGGAAGAAAAACCTTAGGCCACCACCCCTCTCTACCCACCGCCCCTCCCCACCCAAGGCCTTCCTAGCCTGCCCTCACTTTTCTGCCTCTTGGGAGATGGTTTTCCCAGGCTGAGATGGGAGAGAGTGTGTGTTCCCAGGGTGGTGACTGGACTGGCAGGGCTGATGGGGAATGCTGGGGGAATTGGGGCCACATCTGGCTGAACTGGCCAACCTCAGGCTGGGGCACAGCAGCTGGTAGAATTTGGGAGAAGACAGAAATGACTCAAATGTAAGCATCCAGGCCAAGTTCTCTTAGGGCAGTGGTCCAGTCCTCCTGCCCCTGCCCCAGATGGCTCCACCAAGGGCTGCCATGGATAGAAGATATAAGAGGCCAGTGGTCAGGGTAACTCACCTCTGTGCAGGTGGTAAACTGAGGCCCAGAGAGACATGCAGTAGACACCCAGAGTGTTTGAGGATGCTGGCTGCATGGCCTATGTACGTGGCATGTTGTGGAAGAAAAGTGGCCCCAGAGTGGCTCAGATTTCTGAATGGGGTCTGTGGAGAAACAGGTAGGAGGCAGGAGGCCAGGCCCGGGCCCTTCTCTCTTGCCGGACCCAGTGAACCTCCCTGGGCTGGCCCAGCGCTGTTCATCTCAGAGCCTAATTACCTTGTTCACGATGCAAGAGCCACTGGCTTGTCTTTGTGGGATATGACCCAAGAGATGGCCCAGTCCAGTCTCCTTCCCTTGTCTATATTTCCCTCCAGCAGAGCTGACGTCCCAGGGTGTGGCTGTACCTTAGCCCTGATTAACTGGCCACTCGGAAGAGCCATGCCACCACTTCCCAATAGATCAAAGGCATGGAAGAGAGAGTCTGAGGCCAGCTGGCCTCACGAGTTCTCCCAGGGTCACCCAACATTCCTCCCCACCCTTTGATCTGCTCTGACACTCCTCAGAGGGTGGAGGGACCTTTGTGTCTTCAGAGAGAAAACCCAAGACAATGCAGGTCTGTTTGCCTGTCCCAGTTGAACTTTTTGGAGACACTTACTTGGGAGGTCTTGCTGGGGGAGGTGGGTAAGGGCCTGAGGCGGGATGGACCTGAGAGACCTTGTAGCGCTATCATTGAGATAACTATTGTTGCATCGGGCCCCCATTTCACAGCAAGGGGAAACTGAGTCGTAGCTAAGATGAGCAGCGTGTGCTATTGAGGGTGGTCTTGCACTCCCTCCGTGGCGACACTGGCCCCTGCACTGCCAGAACTGTTTCTCCAACTGTACAGGGGCAGGGAACTGTGGGCTGGGAATTGGGACTCGGATAAAGTCGCTTGGGGGGTGTGGGGTGTGGGGTGTGGGAATGTCACCCCCACAAAAGCGGTGAGGGAGGAGAAAGCCTAGACCAGCAGCCGGGGAAATCACGGCGACCCCGCCAACCCTGGCTGTAGAGCTCCGCCCCGCCCCGCCCCGCCCACTGGCCCCCGCCCCGCCCCGCCTGGGCGCGGCCCCGCCCGATTGGCTGGTTGTCTTGATCGCCGCCAGATCCGCCCCCGCGGGGAGCTAGTCCGCGGAGCCAGAGCCGGAGCCGGCCGAGGTGTCGGAGCCTAACCGGGTACAGCAACTGCCGCCGCCGCCCACTCCGGCCCGCGCCCTCCGAGCCGGCCCGATGCCGGCCGAACTCAGACAGGTTGGAGAGAACTTGGTCCGGGGCGAGTGGGTCCCGTCCCGGGGCCAGCGGCAAAGGGCGGGGCTCTGGCCTTCTGGGGAGGACCCGCTTTTGTTTCGTGGAGCCGCGGGCCGGAGGCAGCTATTGTCTGCGCTCCCTGCCGGCGCGTCGGGCCCGGGCCGGGAGGGGCGGTGGAGTGAGCGCGGTGCCGGGGGCTTTGCACGGGGCGGGGCCGCGGGGTCTCTAGGGGCCAGGCGTGGGGGCCCCGGGCGGTGCGACCCTGCGTGGGGAGCGGGGCGGTACCCAGTGGGCGCACCCCGGGCCAGCGCCCAGGACAGGTGCCAGCGACAGGGGCGAGAGGCGAGGACTTTCCGGAGCAGCCCCCTCTGTGCAGGAGGGAGGCCGAGTCAGCAGAGGGGAAGCCCGGCTAGGCCTCCTGCTCCCGGAGCTCGCTGGGCCTTGCCTCCCCTCCAAAGCCCCAGCGCGGGTTCCGACTCTGGGGACCTGCGAAGGAGCTTTAATGAAAGCCCTGTCTGCCGCGGCAGTGCACATGAGGGGAGGGGTAGAGGACGGCCCTGCCCACGTGCGGAGGCGTGTGTGTGGGGGTGTCTCTGAGGAAATCCCGGGCAGTCTGTCTTCCAGTACTGGAGTGGGGGGATGGCATGTGAGCAGCCTGCACTCTTGCCCAGAGGGGGCAGGGCCTGTTACAGGCCCGGAAACAGGCTAAGCAACCGCCACGCGCCCCTTATGATGGGAGGTAGGTAGGTCTCCCTCACACCTGCCTCCTCAGACAGGACAGCCTGGTCTCTGCCTGCCGCGCATCCCTGGTGTGGACCCCAGGATCTGGCCACTGACTACTCCAGAGAGGGAGGGGCCATTGGGGGAGTTGGAGGGATTTGGGCCACAGTGTGGCTGACAGATGTGGGTTGGGCTTAGGGAAGTTGGGGTGGGTGACAGCCAGCTCTGCTCTCTGTCCCCCACAAGCTGCTTTCCTAGTCTGCTGGGCACCCACTGCTTCTAGGCCTTTCAGCCACTCAGTGTGATGCTGTGCCCTGGCAGGTGGACTGCTGCTGTGGAGGGGTTGAGCTCCAGTCTGCCAGGGCTGGGCAGAGGCCATGGGCACCAAGGGAGAGGGTGTTTGGTGGCCAAGGGCTTGCTTCCTGGTGGGAGATGCCAGCCTGGCTTGTCCTTGAGTCTATCTGGGATGGCCTTGCTGGTGGGAGTGGGCTGTCGCTCCTCCACCTCTCCATTCATTCATCCAGCATCTTGTGCCCTGTAAGGGTCTGGCCCTGGAGTTATGGGAGGCAGATGTGGGGTCTTACCTTAACCCATCCCCTATGTTTGCTGGTGGGGCCATGGACAGGGTGGAGCTCCTGCCCTGAGATTTGTTCTTCATGATATAGACAATGGGTGCTCATTAGTCAAGTGCAGGCAGTGCAGGTAGATCCATGACTCCGGGACCCCAGTCCAGCCTGTCACCCCCATTATGACTTGGTTTGTTTCCTCTGCCACATATACCCCAGAGGCTGTTGTGGGCTTTTGCTCAGGTGGCAGCCCCACTATGTGTTGTCCCACATCTGGCCACAAAGGTGGACTGACACTGCAGCTTTGACACCTGGGTCCTTCCTGTTTCCATATGAAGAATCAGAGCCCCGGGTGTGTGACGGGGCCCAGGGCCCTCTTGCTGTGCTCAGTTCTGTGCTCCCGGGGACTGCCTCTTGAAAGCGGTGCTGAATGGTTGGATCCACATTTCTGGGGTACTGGCCACTCCAGCCCTGCTCTGAGTCCTGGACCAGGCCTCTCCCACAAGTTCAAGGGAGTACATAGGAAACCCCAGGCCTAGCCACTAGCCTCTTTTTGGGCCAAGCCCATGGGCCATGGACCAGGTGGACCATCGATGGGAATATCACAGGACGGATTTGGGCCCTGGGGTGATGGGAGGCTAGTCAGTGGTCCCAGTGAGAGAAGCAGGGATGGGCCAGGGCCGGGAAAGGGGTGACAAGAGTTGACAGGACTTGGAAGAATTTGGGAAGTGGGGGAGGGCTGGGGGTGGAGTATCCAGGCTGGTGCCCATGTCTGGGGCATAGGGGAGGACCTGGGGCTGCAGGTCCAGGAGTTCCTGAGAGTGGGCCAGCCTGGGTAGGTGGACACAGGACATGAGGCCCTAGAGCAGGGCCTCTAAGGCAGACAAGGACCCAGCCACCCTGCTTAGCCGCCTCTGTTGAGTGCTGACTGTGTGCTGGTCATCAGCCCATGATCCCACATCCCCACCCTGAAGATGTTGTGGAGGCCCAAGCCAAGGATTGACCTAGGGCCCCTCCCTACCCTAGTTCCTCAGTTTCCCTATCCGCTGCCAGCTCTGAGACCCCCATAGTGGACACCTGGATGTTGGTTGAGGGAGTCTGGATACATAGTGGAGGGCAGGGAGGTGATGGGGATGTGTGCATATGTGCAAGTGCCTCCGGGGATGATGGGCACTGTGCACTGGGTTCTATTAGGAGAGCACACAGATGGATATGCTCAGGCCTGTGGGCCAGGCTGGGTGCTCATGCACACATGTGTCCCTGTCAGAGGGACCATGTACATGCACTGTCTGTTCAGGTCCCTGTCTGCATGCGTGTGCCCAGGCATGTGTAAATGGGGGCCAGGCCTTCCCATGATCACTGGCTGACTCACTCTCCTGCCTGCCTGGCCGCCTGGGTGAAGTCATCACCCATTTTTAGCTCCGAGGTCATTTGCCAGTGGGGGATCTTGGTGCTTTGGAATCTCGCTGCTGGGCTACCCTGGCTGGGAGTTGGTGGGTGATGCTGCAGGGTTGCCAGACCTTGTTGGGGGTGCTGGGCTCTCCTGGACACCCCATCCCCTCATTCTCCTGATTCTGCACTGTGTCAGACCCTCACCACATGCCAGAGTGAGAAAAATAAGCATTGGGGTCTGAGATGTACTCCCTGATCCCCCAGCCAGAGAGTAGGGGCTTTTCTGTGTTAATGTATGCAAATGTATGCAAACCTACTCAGGGGCTATATCCCACTGGCAGTGTCCTGGGCAAAGGTCCCAGTCCACTCATGTCAGTCTTCCTCCTCGCCTCACCCCTGAACTTGCAGCCACTAGGGTGAGGCCTGAGGCCACTCCAGGCTTGGTGTCCCCAGGATCCAGTAGAGCTCAGTGCCTGCTACACATTTGCTCCCGCAGTTGCCAAATACAGATGGGGCAGCTGAGGCCCCAGCAGTGACAGGCTGTTCCAGCACCTTCTCCTGCTCCAGAACTATCCTGGCTCCCTAGTGCCCTTGGAGAAGAGCCCAGGCCACCCTACCTGGCAGCCCACCAGTGTGTCCCCACTCTGGGCCTCAGTTTACTTCTCTTTCCCAGGGAACAGTGCTCCTCCTTTCTTCCTGGCCAGGTCTCCAACAGGCATTCCACCTGCATCCCAAGACTGAGAAGGTGACAGCCAAGGCTGTGGCCCACGAGGGGTGAAGTGTGGCTAAAAGGCTTTGCAGAACTGTCTTCTGTATAGATGCCTGAAATTTCCATTAGCAGTTTGTGAAGTTTTGGGTAGATCCTCTCCCCTCTGTCAGGCCTTAGTTTCCCTTTTATAACATCACATGTCGTCCCTTGCTTGGGGGGAATGGGGTATGCATTCTATGGTTTCTTCCTTTCTGTGTCACCAGAGCCCTAGGGATGCATCTGTGTTAACATGTTGGTGCAGGCCGGACCCCTGAAAAGGTTGCAGGGGCCCAGAACCTCAACATTATGAACAGTTGGGAAGATCAAGCATTTCTTCAGGGCAGGACCCCAACCTGGGGAGATGTCATACGCTGAGGACCTCGGGAGGCAGGCCTGAGGCAGCTCTGGTCACCTTGCACTGCATACCTCCAAGGACCAGGGACAAGACAAGAGTAGGGCTGTGATGCCAAGCAGATGCGGGTAGGAGCTGCTGACCTTCCCTGGGCCTCAGTTCTTTGTCTGGGCGGGCCTCAGGGGCCTGGGGCCCAGGCAGGGGACCTGTCCTGCAAGGCCACAGAGCAAAGCCTGTCCTCCTGCTGACCCAGCCCTGGCTGGCCGGGAATGTGCTCCTCACTACCCGCTCCCCACGGCTTGGGTTTCAGCCCCTATCTGTCCTGGCCAGATGCTGATCCTGGGACACTGGCGCTGTGTAGGGAACCCATGTAGTCAGAGGCCCAGAGTAGACTCAGTCCCTGTGCAACTCAGTACAGCAGGGGTCGGGCCCAGCTCTGCTGTGGGCTGGCCTGTCGTATTTGAGCCTCAGTTTCTCCACTGGCATGTCTGGCCCGTAGGCATATGGGCCTTAGAAGGGCCTCTGTCCAGAGCTATCTTCCCTGGAATTCCACCATAGTCATCCCCTATAGGAATGATAGTGGGGGGGAGGTGAGGAGCACAGGTTGAGAATGAGGCAAGTGTCCAGGAGCTGAAGGCAGAGGCTGGGGAGACATGGGAGAGAGTGTCCAGGGAGGGGACTCCGGTGTTGTTGTCAAGGACAAGCCAGGCCTCCTTGGCCTGAACCCATTCTCTGTAGGCTCTGATATGACACCCAGAGTCTTGGTAGGGACAGGCCTTACCCACTCAATACCCTAAGAGTGTCTGGGCCGGAAGGAGTGAGGGTATTTTGGTGCTCTGAGTACACAGGACATTCTGGAAGCTGAGTATTTCTGTCCTACGAGGGCGTCTAGCTGGCCTTGGGAACAGTGGGAGTCTGTATGTGGCCACAGGAAGTCAGGGAGCAGTACTGAAACTGCCACCCAAAGGCCTCTGCACTCCAGGTTTCTGGGGTGGGGCAGGGAGGAAGTCCAGGACACCCGGAGGGCCCAGTCGGGTGGAAAGCAATGGTAAGAGAGCATCCTATGGCTCCCACCTGGCCTCCTTATCTTCCAAGAGCCTGCGGCAGTCAGGCCTTCCAGCTCAGACAGGGCTGCCCAAGACTGCACCACTGGGGTACAGGACTTTATTTTTCAGCTCAGCCCCAGGAAGTCCTGGGATGGGGGGACCAGCCTCCGGGGCCCCCTTTGGGATGGGGCAACAGGGCAGGGTCAGCCCAGAGACAGGAACATGCTGCTGTCCTCACCAGCTGGGGCTGAGACAGGCCCTAGGGCAGTGGATTCCAGGGGTAGGACGAAAGCATTCCTGGCATCCAGGCCAGCAGGAACATCTTCACTCCAGGGTGGGTGAGCACTGGGTCCTCCCACTAACACCCGCCCACCACCCCCTTGCTAGGAGCAGAGCCCCGGTAGCCAGGTCTCACTGGCCACGATGCCGGAGGCACCAGAGTTGCTCGAGGAGACAGTGACGGTGGAGGAGGACCCTGGCACACCCACCTCCCACGTGTCCATTGTTACGTCAGAAGATGGCACTACACGGCGTACGGAGACCAAGGTATGGCCGGGCCCAGGTGGTGGGCACGTGGGCTATGCAGCCACAGTTGTCCATCTGTAGAGTGGGCACATGGCTCAGCTTCTCTGGCGCCATTCATTCGGGTGGAAGACTGAGGCCACTCTGGCCCTGCCGGGTTGTGTCCAGGTTTCTCAGGCCGCCCAGCCCATTGGCTACCCACTTACTCGCCAGGTCACCAAGACGGTCAAGACAGTGACTACACGAACAGTGCGCCAGGTGCCCATGGGCCCAGATGGCCTCCCCCTCCTGGATGGTGGCACCCCGCTAGGGCCCTTCGCTGATGGCCCCCTGGACCGGCACTTTCTGCTGCGCGGGGGTGGCCCGGTGGCCACGCTCTCCCGCACCTACCTCAACAGCGGGGGCGGCTTTCCTGACAGTCCCGAGCCCCGTGATGTCGCCAGCTATGGTAGCCTGTCCCGTGGGTTGGGTGTGCGACCCCCACGTGGCGGCCCCCTTGGCCCAAGCCCTGGCGATGGCTGCTTCACATTGCCTGGCCGCCGTGAGGCCTTCCCCGAGGGCCCTGAGCCTGTGTCACTGGCCAGCCGCTCCCAGCCCGAGCGTTTCCAGGCAGAGCCGTACGGCCTGGAGGACGACACACGCAGCCTGGCTGCCGATGACGGGGGTGGTCCGGAGCTGGAGCCTGACTATGGCACGGCCACGAGGAGGAGGCCTGACTGTGGGCGGGGCCTTCGCACTAGGTGAGCACCCTGTGCCCTGCCACCGCCTCCAGAGCGTTTGCCTTCCACTCCCCCACCACAGAGTACCCCACAGGTAGTCCAGCTGCTGGGGCTAAGTTAGTCACGCACACATCGGTTTGATTGGCCTCCACTTTTCCCAAGGACAGCAGCAAGGGCACCCTCTGGGATAGCGCAGGTTGTACTGGGCACCCTCCCTGCCAGTAAGAAATGGGGCATGAAAGAAGCTGGTGACAGTGCTCAACACCTGCTGCCCCTGCTCTAGGCAGTTGACCATGAAGACATGAGCCCAAGAAGCTCAGGCTGTTTCTCTGAGCGTGAGGCCCCAGTCTCTCTCTCCCCAGGCTTCAATTTCCTGCATGCATGGTAACAACCAGAACCCGTATCCCCTGGCCTTTCCCAGTACAGCCTCTGGTTCTGTCCCCTCTGCCCTCAGTTTCTCTATAGAGTAGGAACATGACCACAGCCTCAGTCTGGGTTATGCTGCATGACCATGGGCAAGACACCCGACCCCTCCTAGCCTCAGCCACTCCCCTGGGAAGTGGGTTTGATGGTGACAACCCACAAGGACACCTTGTGTCCTGGGGGACCGGTGGTCTGAATGCCCCTCAGATGGTCCTGCCAGGATGGCCATGTGCAGGAGGATCACCTCCTCGCCCTACATCCTGGCACCAGCCAGAATGGAGCCTCATGGGAAGGTGGGACCCCCCCCCCCCCCCCCCCCAAATCATGTACAGATGTTTCATAGAAACACATTTAGCTCAGAATCAGGGGATACTGCCTGGTGATGGGAGTGAGTAAGCTCCCATCTGGGAAGGATGCAAGCTCTGATGACCAATGGTTGGGGTTTGGCTCTGTCATTGGTTGTGAGTCCGTTCTTGCTGGGCTGGGTTGTGACTCTCAGCACCCACGTGGTCCATGGGGCCAAGTACCAATGCTCTGGGTCCAGCCCCACCCTCTGTAGATTCACAGTCCCCTGGAGAAAGTGTGAGGGGGCAGCTTGGGGGCAGGGCCAGTAGCCCCTGAGATGTTCATGTGCCCTGCTCACCCGCACAGGGCCTATGAGGACGTGGCAGATGATGGTGGTGAGCTGATGGAGGAGCGGCCCCCTTTCTCAGCCACGACAGCACCCCTGGCCCAGCCAGAACGGGGCAGCCTGGGCAGCCTGGACCGGGTGGTGCGACGCTCACCCTCGGTTGACAGCGCCCGCAAGGAGCCTCGCTGGCGGGACCCCGAGCTGCCTGAGGTACTGGCCATGTTGCGGCACCCTGTGGACCCTGTGAAGGCCAATGCGGCTGCCTACCTGCAGCACCTGTGCTTTGAGAACGAGGGTGTCAAGCGGCGTGTACGGCAGCTGCGGGGGCTGCCACTACTTGTGGCTCTGCTGGACCACCCGAGGGCGGAGGTTCGACGCAGGGCCTGTGGGGCACTGCGCAACCTCTCCTACGGTCGAGACACCGACAACAAGGCTGCCATTCGGGACTGTGGTGGCGTGCCCGCCCTGGTGCGCCTGCTGCGGGCTGCCCGGGACAACGAGGTCCGAGAGCTCGTCACGGGTGAGTGGCACCTGGCCGCCCTGCACCTTCCAGGAAGAGACAAGAGCAAGGCTTGGCCAGGGGAAGCAACCCATTTAGTCAGCAGTCCCAGCTGCTGGGGGCAGGCGTCAGGCTCAGACGCTGTGAAAGGTCCTCAGTCTCTACTTCTGGACTTTGCTGCCACTGGTGGCCCTGGCACCAGGCTCCTCCGGGAGACCCCCTTCCCACCTGGCCCCATGTCCCCATGACAACTCCAAGTCCAGCCTCATGGGTCCCACCCCTAGTAGGCAGTGGTGGGGATTGTGCCTTGTGAGACCTGAGTGGCCAGGCGGTGCCACATGACCACCTCTCACTGTGGCCCAATGGCCCCAGGAGGAGGAGTCCCATCCACCCACGTGGCTGGGAAGGGGTGGAGAAGAAAAAGCACCTGCTGTGTCCAGGCTCAGGCTCCCTGCCAGCCCATGCTCTGTGTCCCAGTCCCTCTGGGTTCCCCCACAGCTTTGAGCCACTACTGGATGCCCAGGACCTCTCACGGCTTTATTACTTCTGGTCTGAGCTGGGGCATGATGGAGGGTGGGGCATGACAGGGTCACATGGGAGGTAGGGAGGCAGTGCCTGTGGTCAGCACTGGCTGGTCGATGGTGCCCTGCAGGCACACTCTGGAACCTGTCATCCTACGAGCCCCTGAAGATGGTCATCATTGACCATGGCCTACAGACACTGACCCACGAGGTCATTGTGCCCCACTCGGGCTGGGAGCGAGAGCCCAATGAGGACTCCAAGCCACGGGACGCCGAGTGGACTACTGTCTTCAAGAACACATCAGGCTGCTTGAGGTGGGGGCGGGGCCGGGCTTGGGCACCCCGGAGCAGTCTCCCAGGGCTGTTCCTGGTCAAGGAGTCAGGTGCCAGGCACCACAGCCTACATGCAAATAGCTGTACTGGAGATACCCATGTCCTTGTATCTCAGATAACGTGGAAGACAACTAGTTGCCTAAGTCTTAGGGCTTCAGAGCCATGTCACAATGCCTGCCCGAGTCCTAAGAATGAGGCCTGATGGGGCTGTGCTCACCCCCAATGGCTGTCTCTGGACAAGGTCTGCCACCCTGTTGTGTGGTACCCCATGGCTCTAGTCCTCCCCTCCTCACTCTCCTATCACTATGACAGCCAGGGGTGGGGGAGCCAGAACCTTCATCTCCAGTATGCCTTAGAGGCCTCATCCCACCTCTTTATGACCTCTGCCCCTTGACCCTAGGAGGCCCTGCAGAGACCCCACAGGCAGTCCTTGGTCCCCATGGCCCTACAGGGTCCTGACCTTAGGAAAAGCAGAGCCCAGAGCTTCCAATGGGGCGTGGGGAGCCCACAATTACCTGTGTACCGATTCAAGCCTCTGGATCTACCTCTGTCCCTTTCCAGTTCAGCTAGGAGTCAGGGAAGTGCCCTCTCCCCCAGAAGATGCCAGGCTAGGGCTTCTTCCCTAGGGTCTCAGCCGTCAGGCCACCCCTGCCCCACCTTCACTTCTCCAGGTTGGTATCAACTGCCAATAGCCCCAACAGGGCAGCATCAGGGCCCATTTTACAGATGAAGACAAAACCCCAAGGCCAGGCAGGGGTCAGGGGAGTTCTCATGGGAGCCAGGGGTCACGGTGCTTGCTCTTGGCCACCCAGGAACGTGAGCTCGGATGGCGCAGAGGCCCGGCGGCGACTCCGGGAGTGTGAAGGGCTGGTGGACGCACTGTTGCACGCCTTGCAGTCAGCAGTGGGCAGGAAGGACACAGACAACAAGGTGGGTGGGGGTTGTGGGGGGAGGACAGGGCACTCCCAGCAGGTCCCAGGATGGTCAGTCTCTCAGCCTCACAGCCTCCTACAAAGGCTTGTAGCAACAAACCAGGAATGAGGCCTGGGGGCTTGAACTGTCTGGGAGGCAGAGGGGAATAGGCATGCACATCTGGGGCAGCATGGGTCACCTTGTAGTGGCCATTCTGTGAAACAGGCCTACCACAAGGCCCCAGACAAGGTCCTACATGCACTAGGTGTTTTACCCTTTTTCTCCCATGGCCCCTCCCTGAGGGTTCTCGCCTCTGTGGGCCCCCTAGCTCAGGCTTCCGTGTCTACACCCCTGGTCCTATCGGTATACACTGGCTGTGGCCGGTCTCCTCTGAGAAGGTCAGCATTCTCTGCACCCACGCGGCCATGCCCCAGCAGCTCTCCTCTCCCCACAGTCGGTGGAAAACTGTGTCTGCATCATGCGGAACCTGTCTTACCACGTGCACAAGGAGGTGCCTGGGGCCGACAGGTACCAGGAGGCTGAGCCTGGGCCCCCAGGTGCTGCTGCTGCAGGCTCCCAGCGCCGGAGGAGGGATGACGCCGGCTGCTTCGGTGGCAAGAAGGCCAAAGGTGGGACTGGGGACCACTTTAGGACCACTTCTCCCCGCCCCCTGGGCCGAAGGCTCTCCGTACCCACGGCAGTCATGGTCAGCTCCCGACGGGCAGGCAGGGAAGCAGGCAGCCAAGGAGGGGGCACGATCCTGGGGTGCCCAGTTGACAGGCCCAGCTTTTGCCCATCTGCACTGTGGGGGCCCCCAGGGGAGGGCAGGAGGGAACCCATGTGGTGGTTCCCACCCATGCCTGGACCCAGTCTCTCAGCTCCAGGAAGGGTTCTGTGGGCCCAAGTTTGGAAAGTGCTGAAGATGGTGCTGCCGCCAGGCATCGGCAGAGCACCTCAAGACCCCGAGAAGCCCTGTGGGCAGCACCTCACCCCACCTGCACACCACCCCTGACTGCTGGGTGCGGATGCTAACATTCCCTACCCAGCAACTGCCAGGTGGAGCCTGCGCTTACTTCACCTGCCTCACCTGTGTGGGCCTTTTCTGATCTCTGTCCCGCTTGTGGGCACTCAGCCTTCAAAAGTAATGGAATGAGATTCCATGTCCCACCTGCTCAAACCAGGGTGTGCAGTGGGAAGCCGAGGCCTCCTGGGAGGGTGCGGGGGGTGCTGCCGCTCAGGCTCATCTCCTCTCTCCTGTGCTTCCTCCGGCTGCCTAGAGGAGTGGTTCCATCAAGGTGAGTCCCTGTTTGTCCTGCTGTCCAGCCCTGGTGGGTACAATGGGCACCAAGGAGCCACCCCTTCCCAATTGCTCAGGTAGTCTCCATGACAACTGCAAGGCCTTCCAGCCTTCAGGGCCCTACCCCATCCCCAGTCCCTTCTCTGTGCAGCCATCTCCATGACAACAACAGGAATATCATACCTTGGATTGGTTTGGAGGACAAGGGGCTGTCCCTCTGTAACCTCAGACTTTGCTTCTCAGGCAGGGCTGACCCTAGAGCTGGGGCAAAGCTGAGATGGGCAGTGCCCTGGGATGTCCATCTCCAGGGGTGTCAGGGAGCAGAGTCTGCCCCTTTGATGGAATGGGGCCATGTGTGGCTCAGACAGGGACTACACAAAGGCCCCAGGAGATCAGGCAGGGCAGGGGCCCCAGAGCGTCTAAACTTAGCCCTGCTGCCTTCCAAAGGAGGAGAAACTCCCTCATCTGAGGTGGTGACACACTCTCACAGAGGTGTGCAGGTTGAAGCTGATAAGGTGTTAGGTGGTACGGCTGCAGGGGCTTGACCTGTGAGTGTGGGTCTCTCCTGGCCAACAGCCTGGGATAGGGTTCAGGCCCCAGACATGTTTCTTCATGGATGAGGACTTGGCCCCAGCCCTGCCTCATGCAACCAGGCACATGTCCTATTCCTGTCGGCCCTTGGCTTCCCCATCTACACCTACCTGCCATCCAGCCAGTCTCCTGCATCCCTCCGTTCACACATTTGGCAGCTGCAATGCAGCTCTTAGCACCTGATGGGAGATGAGTCCTGGTTACTCAGGGCAGGGCTGGGACGTCTCCATGACCCACTGCCACCACTGCCCTCCCCTGGGCCAACCTGCTGGCCTGAGCTCAGAATGCCTCTGCTCCCTGGGCCTCTTGGTGCCTAGTCTTGAACATGGTGGTACTTTTTGAGCTCTGGGCAGGAAAGTGCTGTGTCCAGCCCTCCTGACACACACCTGCCCCCCACAGGGTCTGCCTCACCTCCTGCTGCTCTTCTGTTCCAGGGAAGAAAGATGGTGAGATGGACCGGAACTTTGACACGCTGGACCTGCCCAAGAGAACTGAGGCTGCCAAAGGTGGGTGAAGGTGGAGTCCAGGCTCAGGCCTGTCCAGGTAATGAAGCTTTTTGTCACCAAGAAGGCCTAAAGGACCTGAGGGATCTGAAGGGAAAGCCAAGGCTCACAGTTGTGTGGTTCCCTGGAGGACTGGTTCCTGGGCACCTTTTGAGAGTATAGAATCAGGGTCAATGCCATAGGCCACTTTGGGCAGGGTGGGGTGACAAAGAGGCCCGGCACTTGCTGGGTCACACAGCTTTGGAGTGAGACCGTCAGTGAGGGGCAGGGACTGGCCAGCAGGGCCTCCAGTGTCAGCTGAGGGGCTTGGGTTTACTCCGAGGGGTTTGGGAGCCAGGAGTATGTAGTCAGATCCAGTACAGATGCTGAGCTAGATCACCCTGACTCATGCAGGGCAGGGTGGTCTGTCCTTTCCATCCCCTGTGTCTGTTGGAGCCTAATGTGTGCTAGCACTGTTCTGTGTAACGGGAATGAATACAGCCTGAGTGAGAGACATCCCACTTGGTGAGCCCCAGGCCACAGTCGACCCTGTGAGCCCGGATGCCCCCAAGCAGGGTGGAGAGGAACCAGCCTAGGCCAATACCAGGGGCAGCGTGTTTGGAGAACAGGAAGCCCCGCCAGGCTGAAGTGGAGGGATCATGGGACATGAGGACTGGGGAGGCAGTGGTGACATATGGGGCGGGAGGACTCGGGACAGGGAGATAATGTCCAGGGACAAGCAGAAGCCCTAGTATGGGAACAGCAGCCTTGGAAGGCTGCTCTGCCCCTCATCTCTGGAACACGGTGGGCAAGCGCTTCCAGGCCTGGGTCTCATGGAGGGTGGGCCATGTTGCTAGGGACATGACCCTCCCTGGTAACACAGCCTGTTATATATGAGAGAGAGCCGGCCTTGTTAGGGAAAGGGTCTTGTTGCTAGGCCCCATCTCCCAGTTGCACAGCCTCTGTTAGCTACCCAGGAGGCTGGGCCCTATTGCTAGGGAATTTGAATCCTGTTGCTAGGGGAGTGGCCCTGGTTACAAGGCCCCAGTTAGTAGTGGGAAGGGCAGCTCCTGTTGCTAGGAGAGCAGCCCTGATCGCTGCCTTTTCCCCCACCCAAGGCCGCCTGGATGCTGCAGGTGCCAGGCAGGTCTAATCCCATTTATTTGGCAGCAGGGTTAAGGGAAGACAACCTTGACCGAAGCCATTGCCTCCTCATGAGCCTCTGTTTGTTCTTCTGTGAAGTGGAAATGCTTTTCCTCTTGGATGGCCATAACATTGATGTTAAACATTCCTTGACTGCACCATACCCATCCCTGGGCCCCAGCTCACCCTTGCTCTGGAAGGAGAGGGGAGGAGAGGGGATGGTGGTAGGAGGTCTGGGTGACTGTGGGTTGCGGGTGCTCTGTGCCCAGGCTTCGAGTTGCTGTACCAGCCCGAAGTGGTACGTCTCTACCTCTCTCTTCTCACGGAGAGCCGGAACTTCAACACTCTGGAGGCTGCAGCTGGTGCCCTACAGAATCTCAGCGCTGGCAACTGGATGGTGAGAGGCCAAGTCTGGCAGGGAGGGGACAGAGAGGGAATCCCAGGCGTCCCTGTTGGTGCCTGCCCCTGCCTTTGCCAGGCTGGGGGAAGGGGAGGGGACACAGCGCCTCCTCACCGTCTGGGAGATTTAGGGCACAAGGGCTGCAAGCAGTGCGCCCTGGGTGATGGGGGAGGGGGAGCTTCTCTTGGAGGTGGAGTTGAGCTGCTGGGGTAGGGCTTTGTCAGAAGGACAGTCCAGCTGGAGGGAGTGATCAGGGCTCAGGTGGGAGAATATCTGGCGTGTGCGGTGTGACTGCATGCTGAGCGCACTCTGCCTCCTGCGCCAACACCGCCACAGTGGGCCACGTACATTCGCGCCACCGTGCGCAAGGAGCGCGGTCTGCCGGTTCTAGTGGAGCTGCTGCAGTCTGAGACTGACAAGGTGGTACGTGCAGTCGCCATCGCCCTGCGCAACCTCTCGCTGGACCGGCGCAACAAGGACCTCATCGGTGAGGACGCAGGTGGGGCCGAGCCGGGATGTGAACCGGATGGGCGGCCTTAGGGGGTTTGGGGACGGGCGGTTCAGGGGTCCGGCTCACCCCCGTCACTCTGTCCCAGCTGCAGGAGCTCCGGTCTCCCTGAACCTGTCTGAGGCTTTAGCCCCCTGTGCACCGTGTCCTTGCCGGTTCTCCTCCCCTGAGTCCCAGTCCTCCCTGCAGGGGCGGGAAGAGGCGTGTCCTAACACCCCTCCCCCGCCCCTCAGGGAGCTATGCCATGGCGGAACTAGTGCGCAACGTGCGAAATGCTCAGGCTCCAGCACGACCCGGGGCCCGCCTAGAGGAGGACACGGTGGTGGCAGTGCTCAACACCATCCACGAGATCGTGTCCGACAGTTTGGACAACGCGCGCTCGCTACTGCAGGCCCGTGGTGTGCC